TTGTCTTGCCGAAAATTGCACGCTAACGCAGCTTGCAGATGACGGCATGGTCTCCGTTGTTGAGCCAAAAGCACCGCACCTGCAAGGACCATTGCAAGATACCTTGAACAATTTGTCTATGTACATGAGCAATGAATCTGGGTATCGAATTCGCTCAGGAGAAAACTGATATGGTTGTTTTTTTCTAGGAAGCTTTATCGAGCACAGTCGCAGCTTCAACTCATGGGTAAAACAATGAATCACATCATATCTTTCAAGTATTTGGGTGTCTGGTTCGATTCCAAATGCACTTGGGGAAAACACGTTGCGTATCTGAGTCAGAGATGCCAACAAAGAATCAATTTTCTTCGTTGTATCACCGGAACTTCGTGGGAGCCCATCCGGAAGATCTGATAACATTTTACAAAACCACCATTCTCTCGGTTTTGGAGTATGGTACATCTTGAAGCTGCAACGGATTAAATATCGTTGTATTCGAATCGTACTAGGTTGTATGCAATCGACGCATACAATGAGTCTGGAAGTACTTACTAGAATTTTGCGAAGCTGCTTGAGCGAAATCCGCAAACACGATTTATGAGCTTGTAGTACGAGTACATGACTCTGGAAATCAGCCCCTCCTCGTTCAATACCAATGAAGTATCCCACGATATCAGGTGTTCTTCCGTAAGATTCGATCTCACAATGAGGGAGACAATTCAAGGAATACCAGAGCCCCATTTCCCCCTGATTGTACCATCCATCTTCGCGAACAAAAACCGCCACGCCAATGCCGAGAAGAGATTTTTCACTGATGGGTTCACAATAAATGCGTCCACTGGTTTTGGTGTATTCAATGTTCTTCATAGCGCCTCATATCAGCTCCTGTGGCAATGCCCCATCGATAACGGTAGCCCCAGCGCCGATGGTGAAGTTCGTACCTCATCATCCACCGTTGCATCTCAATATCGAGAGAAGAAATGTAAAGGAAGACACTGTCAATCCATCTCCTGTCATTTACGATTTCAGGAATGCAGACTATTACAGCATCATTCTTCTTCTTGAGACGCTAGACTGGGAGAACATTCTTGACGGAACCAATGTGAACATAGCTGCACAGACATTCTGTCATATTCTTTCATATGCGATCGACCGACATGTTCCCAAGAAGACGGTAGCCGTTGGTCGTACCCCATGGCTCACTCCCGAACTCCGAAGGCTGAAAAGACAAAAGAGAGCCGCCCTAAGAAGATTTTCGAAAAAACAAGAGTGTATCGCTGCGTGACCACTACGTGAAGCTGAACATAATCTATAAACGCGTTAGCAAGAGATGTTATATTCGATATCAGACGGGCTTACAACGACGACTTAAATCCCACCCACAATCTTTGTGGGATTATGTAAAACAGCAACGTAACGAGTGTGACCTGCCTTCTTCAATGAAGTGGAATGGGACCGTAGCCTCTGAACCACAAGCCATATGTGACATGTTTGCCTCCGATAGGTAGATATCACCAGCATCTAGTAACACACAGCCGTCAGAGCTAGCTATGCCTGAAGTCACTGTCAACAATGATGCGATTATGGCAGCTGCACGTAAACTAAAAGTGTCAACGTACTTAGGTCCCAATGGAATTCCGTCGGTGTTTTTGAAAAACTGCATTGACAGCTTGCTCGAGCCACTTCAAGTGATCAGCTTGTCGCTTTCATCCGAAGTGTTTCCGTCCTGCTGGAAACGTGCATACATGTTCCCTGTACACAAAAACGGCGATAGGAAGAATGTTGATAATTATCGCGGAATATCCTCGTTGTGCGCTGTTTCCAAACTCTTTGAGCTTGTTGTGATGGACCAATTTTTCTCTCATTGCAAGCAATTTTTAAGCCCAGACAAGCATGGTTTCATTCCCGGTCGTTCAACCGCGTCAAACCTTTTATGTCTCACCACTTACGTAACCGACAGTATGCTTGAACGAGCACAAACGGATGTACTATATTTGAACTTATCCGCAGCATTCGATAAGGTCAACCATCAAATTGCTGTAGCGAAGCTTGAAAAGCTTGGAATTCATGGAACTCTTTTGGATTGGTTCCAGTCCTACTTGAAAGGTTGTCACTCGCAAGTAGTCATCGGCGAATCCACTTCAGCTTCGTTTCCAATCACGTCAGGGATTCCGCAGACCCACTCATCTTCCTTTTATACTTCAACGATGTCAATGAAGTGCTGGATGGACCAAGGCTTTCGTTTCCTGATGACTTCAAGCTATATTTCAAGATTCGTTCTGAGTTTCTACAACAACAACTTGATGCATTCGCTTATTGGTGCCAAATGAATCGTATGACCGTAAATCCTGCAAAATACTCAGTTATTACGTTTTCTCGACTGAAAGATCCAAAACTCCACGATTATTCATTTTCTGGAGTACCACTGGCAGTGCTGCAAAATCTCGACAGTACACGGTGATATTGACAATTCTGCTTTGGTAACTCATTTGAGCTAACAGTCATAGTCAAGGCAGACTATGTCAATTGTCAATGACAATGCTTTCAGTGACGAACATGTGTAGATTTTTATATTAACTAAATTTGTAACGAAATTAAATGACTTGAGCAAAACAACTACATGGAGCCATTTTAGTGAATAAGCATCTACGTCCTGAACTACTTGGATAACAATAATGTGACACAGAATGTACTAAATTACACGATTTGTTACCAGGTGAATCTTTGTCATTGACGAAAAAATGAATGAGATTTTGATGAAGGTTTTTTTGAGGATCAAGTCTGTCAGTGACTATGTGACGAACAATTTTGTCAATATCGCGTGAAAGCCTCTAGGGTTTATCTTCCGGGTTAACAAAAGAGTTCATGGGCATTTACTGTCTAAAGGCACTCTACTGTGCATTAGTACTATTCGACTGTTTGGAGCCCTCACTTCCAAAATGGAATTGAGAGATTAGAATCTGTGCAACGGCGGTTTGTTCGATTCGCACTTCGTCGACTACCATGGCGGGATCCATTTCGTCTCCCAAACTTCGAGCACCGATGTCAGTTAATTCGTCTGAATACACTTAGTACACGAAGAGTCTTTGCTAAGGCTATGCTTGTTTCTGATGTCTTGCTGGGTCGAGTTGATTGTCCTGAAATCCTACGACGAATCAACTTGTATGTGCGACCAAGATCTCTACGGAACAATGCGATGCTACGACCTCAACCTCACCGCACCAATTACGGAATGAACAGTGCCATTACTGGGATACAGAGAGTTTTCAACCGGGTTGCCAGTCAATTTGATTTTAACGTTTCACGTGACTTGCTACGTGCTAGATTTCTTAATGTTTTTAGATAATTTGAAACATATGTGTAGTTTTAATGTATATTAATTAAATTCATTGGCAACAGCTTATCCATCATTCGGGCCAAGAAGCCTGTTGATGAAGAAATAAATAAATAAATAAATAAATAAATAAATATCAGCTTCAAAAACCATGTTCGATATACGTTTCGGAACTAGCAGCTATATTGTATGCGTTTCTCACTTCCCCCTGATCAGTATTTAAATTTTTCGGTAGTCTAAGTTCTCTGGAGGCTATGCGTTCAATGAGGTCGATGAAGCACTCGACGTATTTCCTGAACGAAATACGATCGTCACTGAGTGCTTTATCAAACAGCTCACATATCATATCACCCTTAGCTATCCCGGGCAATGAGAAAGCGGACTCGCTGACTAAGGTGGGTGCTATGGAAGGCGACATTTAAGAGCGACAACTCGAGGGATTGTTTTTTTGTGACTTTGAATAAGTATGAAGGGTCGGATGTCACCATAGGTGGATTCATTTAGATTTTTTTCACATAGAACATACATTTTATTTGTCTGGTTCTCACCAATCACGGAGTAGCAAATATTTTTTTATATGCAGTCAGTCTGAGGCTTTAAGCTAAGCTAAGCTAGGCTAGAACACACGTTTTATTTCTCTGGTTATAGCTAAGTACTAACCGACTTACCACGACTTCCTACCACCACAGGCATTGTTTGCACCTTAGCATATTCCCAAACGACGTCAAAGATGCATCATCTCACTTTCAAATTTCATCATTAAACCGTTTAAGTATCCGTGATTTTGATTGACGCATACTGCCATTATTCACTAAATCATATTCACTATTCACGAATTAATGGTTTGACATTTGAACCAAAATACTTTTCACGCACATTCAATATTTACAGAATGTCTGAAACACGGTGCAACACAACGTACATTCAACTTCTTCTGACGACTGCAACCAATAAAACCACGACTCCGCTCCACCAAGAGCAATCGAATTCGCCATTAACTTACCAAATTACCCGCACTGTACTTCTTCCTGAAGTGATGCCAATTCCGTAGCAACTTACTTAAACTTTCACCCAACTCAATTGTCGAAAATTGTTCGCAAAAAAAAGTTTCTCCTTTGTATCCTCTTCTCGCTCTCTCTCTCGGTCTCGTCAGTCAGGCAATCAGTTGCAGTTGCAGCAATCTTTTGGCGGTTGGCGATTGAGCTCTGCTCGCAAGAAAAGCGGCAAACCGGCTGCTGAGGAAAACTGTAGTAAGATTCGGAAAAGTGGATTTCCGGTTCCGGTCGGTGCCAGTTTGGTGGAAGCGGTCTTTTTCACATTCTTTTTTTTTTTCTCTCCGATAGTAGAGGCGGTCCCACTACAGCAATTGGCTAGTCCTATGCAGAGGGAACAAGTGAAACAAAATATGGAAGAGCGTTGGCAAACAAATGGAAATTGAATTGGAAGTAAAGAATTTATCGAATGATGTGGTAAGAATTTAAGCTGCACCGGAACGATTTGAACTTTCCCGATGGAAGTTTGCAGTGTATGGAAGGTTTTTGATTTGGCTTTTCTTGGATGGATTTTATGGGAAAAAAATGAACCATGCATTTGAAACTGTATTTCCGAGCAGATAAAGTTTTATTTTGGTAAAATTTCGGTGGCTATGATGACTCTCAATAAGAATCGATTATTTTCATTTCATCAGGTCTGTCCGAGATTCCTCGGCTTGCATCCGGAAAATGCACCTCCATGTTTATCCTGATCTTCGGCTATCTCATGTTCCAATACTATTCGGCAAGCATCGTCGGTTCTCTGCTAATGGAACCACCGAAAAACATCCGCACGTTGCGGAACCTCATCGATAGTCGCCTCTCTCTGGGCATCGAAGACATCCCGTACAGTAGGGATTACTTCGTGGTAAGCTCCTCTAATTCCCGTAAAATTATGAATACATTCTACCTTATATCACACAGCGAACTACCGACGAGGACTCGCTGGAACTATTTCGAACCCGGATAAGCTTCCTCAACCCGAAAACCGGTCAAAACGAGTCGCATTTTTCGAACGCAGCTGACGGCCTCGGGCTGGTGAAGATGGGCGGGAACGCATTTCACGTGGCCATTTCGGCTGGCTACAAAATCATACGGGAAACCTTCAGCGAGCGGGAAGTCTGCGAACTGGCCGAAATCGACATGTTTCCCAAGTCGAGCCAGTGGATGGTGGCGATCGTGCAGAAAAATTCACCCTACCGGGATGTCATAACGTACGGGTGAGTGAGTGCTGGTTTTTCCTGCTTTTAGTGTGGTGGTTGAATTCATTCATGTGCGTAGTTTTTGTCGTCTTCGGCAGTTTTTTGTTTGCTTTCGGCATGGGAGGTTTTTTTTTGTTATCTGCATTCGCACTACGCAGTTTGGTGTAGGCCAGGAAAATTAGAGAATGTTTCTAGTGACTATCACAGTTCGAAAAAGTAGTGGTTATTTATAATCGATATGATGAACATAAATAGAGTGTCATATATCATACAATATTACGGTATAGATCATGTAAAGTTATGAGCCATTTAATGGATTATTACAAATATTGTATGCAACCGTCGATCGGGGCCTCCCTTAGCTCAGTCGGTAAAGACGCAGCTACAAAGCAAGACCATGCTGAAGGTGCCTTAGTTCGTCTAGGTATTTTTCGTTTTGAAAAAAATCTTGACTTCCCCGGAAGTATGATTGTACTTGCCACACAATCATACAATTTTTGACGTAGGACTACGTCTTTCGGGAATATAGGGGTACAATTTATGAAAAGTGAAAAATGAAATTATGAACGATTTTGAACGTTAATAACTCAGCTGCCCCTGGACCAATTTCAATTATTTTATCACCAATCGATCAGAAACATTTCTACGCATCGATAACAATGTTCTTGACTGTTGATTTTTAACAAAAAACTATTGAAAAAGTGGTAAATGTCAAGCATTGTCCAAAAGCTTCTAAATAACTAACAAATCCACCAATTACGTACATGCATGTGCTGCTTCCCCAACACAGTCATCAGAGAATGGTTCCTAGATGAAACAAGTCGAAGTGACATTCGCCTCCGATCTTCGGGCGTGTACGAGTAGGGAGGATGCAATTGCAGAACATTTTGTAGCCAATTCAGAACCACACACCCCCAACGACCACACAAAATGCTGTTTTTTTTCCTTGGATTTGTTTTCCGTGCGGAGCACCAATGCTACCCACACCCATGCTTGGCATACACAGTTTTGGTCATGAACTGCTCATTTGCTAATAACTTTGCACACAGTTGACGCAACATAGTTCTTTTTGAAGCAGTAGATAGAATAGAGTGTAAGCTTGTTAAAGATATGTAAAATAAAGTAGATTTTAATGCTAATAGTAAACTGTATTTATTTTAGCGTTGTAAAAATGAGGTGAGAAATGCTCACTACACATCTCGGAATTTAAGTGTTAAATTGATTAGTGTTGATTCAAATGTTAAGCTTTACCTAATCTTCGCATATCTATAGTAAACTATGAGCCTAATCTATCAATTACTTTAAAGAAAAATAAATTTCAACATCTGAGTGAAAAGTTATTACCAAATGAGCAGTTGGTGTGTACAGCTGTGCATGCTCACACGGACCCTACCTATCGACCCATCAACTCATGAACCGGGAACCCCGAAGGAAGGCGTGATCAGAGATGTTATGCCTCTGAACTTCCCGGCAGCGTTGACTGGGATTGAACCCAGGCCTGCTGGGACGCTTACCACTACACCACGGGCGCCGCTGCTCTCTAGAGTTGTAATCTTGTAACCAAACTTGGAAGCAGGGGATACTCTATATAAATTCTACTCTAACTCTTTTCTGAAATGAACTTGGTGGCCCTGAAAAGGGCCGTTTTGTTACATTGGTGATAAGTTTTAACCTCCGAAACCGTACGTTCCGAATCTACGCTTTAGGCTTAGTTTCGATTCACCCGTTCAACGTTAAACAAGCACCAAGTAAGCAAAGGGAAGCAAAGGCTTGGAAAAGGAGGCGCCAAGCGTCATCGGAAGGTTCTGCGTGAAAACAACCAGGGTGTTCCCAAGCCTGCCATCCGTCGTCTGGCTCGACGTGGTTGTGTCAAGCGTCTCCGGTCTGATCTTCGAGGAAACCCAAGATGTGCTGAAGGTGTTCCTAGAAAATATGCGTGATGCCGTCACCTACACTGAACACGCCAAGCGCAAAACCGTCACGGCCATGGATGTCGTCTACGCTCTGAAGCGACTGTACGGTTTCGGAGGTTAAAACTTATCACCAACGTAACAAAACGGCCCTTTTCAGGGCCACCAAGTTCATTTCAGTAAAGAGTTAGAATAGAATTTATATAGAGTAGCCCATGATTCACCCATTCAATTTGTCACTAAATACATCAAAATGATTCAAAAATCAAATAATTTGTTAGGGAAATAAATTATGTTTTATTTGTAGTCTTATCGGTGGGTTAATTTTTTTCCGTTTCACTTTCATTAACTGAGAAACCCTAATCGTATGCATTCTCCTGCTGCGCGACATCTTCGAAAACGTCCGAACCGTAAAAAATTTCGTAGTCCTATGTCAACAATGCGGTTGTGTCTTTTTTTTTTTTTTGTTCATTAATTTATTTGATAAGGCTCAACCGAATTAACTTAACAGAGCCGATGATTCTTGGTCACTATACAATACATCTTAAAAATATAGTCAAAAGGTACAACACAATAAACACTTTATCTTCCACTATCCAAAAAGCCTCCTCCATCAGAACTGGAGCCGCTTCCAGTAGTTTCATTGTATGGCAAACTGTTGTACGCCAACGAGGGTCAGAGCGCGTCCATTGCAGCAATGGACGCAAAACGTGGTCAGCACTCACACACTCATCACGAAACGGTTGCTTTCCAAAGTCGACGACGCATCGACCGAAAGAACTGCTGATGAAGAACAATGAGGAGGACCACACAATGGTTGCTGCCGAGAAAACAGACAATCGCGTAGCACACATCGAGAGTGGTCTGCTTTTGTCGACAGCCGAGTGAACACTGAGGGTTGTGTCTTGTACACCACCCTCCAACTTTTTTTTATTAAAAGTACGTTTATTCGTCAAACAAAAAACAAAAATTATGTTTATAATAAATTAAACTCCGACTTCAATATTTAAATTCAATGCATCTATATCTACATCTATCCTATCATTACATTTTTCAATGAAGGTGATGTATATAAATAAGATCTTCAGAATTGCTGTTCTCGTAGTCACAGATATCCTTTCTAATGAAGGTCGTAGAAGTTCTTCGCACTTGAAGGATCGTCGTCTGCCAGTTAACGTCATCAGTTTTTGCTGAAGTTATTCAAATGCTACACGCCCAAGTAACCACGACGCATTATATCCCTATTTTAATTCAGCTTTATATCTTCTTATGACGATATTGATTAAATGCCACAAGACTTTAAATGTTTTTGTAATGTTAGTATAAAGTGGAAAAGGGCGATTATTAGACTCATTTGAGATCTGTCAGGTAAGCACTATATTGCCATAATTAATGTAGATATAAAGCAAGTGTCTACTTTATCGATAGAAGTGTTTTTAATATTGAATATTAACGCCACAATACATTAAGAATGTTGATTTAAAGGATTTAAAAAAAAAATATATTATAAAATGTTTAAAATTTATTTTAATTCGTCATGAAGCATAAATAACTCTTGTTTTTAGTTTTTGTTTAGTTGCTTATATTCCTATTACATTTTTATATATATTTTTATAATTACTAAATTCTGTTGATAATCTTTCCTCTGGCTGGAATTGAACCCAGGTTGATTACGGTCATCTGCCTTTATAACCAGTATCCTACACCCTTAGCTATAAATGAACTTGATATTCGGCATGTCTTCTTCTCAAATGAAGAGAAAGGTTTATTGCTCTATTTTCACGCTATGGTAGCATTATAATACTCTTTATTTGCATTATATAGTAACATTGCACTAATTGAAGACTTGGCACCCCTGCACAAAAATATGAATAAAAAAAAAGTTTCCGGAAGCACTGTTGAATTTTGACATTCAATGAAAAAAAAAACAAAACAAGAGCCCAACTTTGTGTGCTGTACTTTTTTTTTCAGTTTTCTGATATAAACGACTATTAGAACGCAAATCTTCAGGTAAAACTATAGCTAAACTATCAAGTTAAAGATTCAACAATGATGCCTCCATTTCAGCATGACTCAAAATAAGTATTCGGTTGTTCAATGTTCGTTTGATGAGGAGGAAACATACCTTTGCGTTTTGCCCTCTAACTGGGTCACCAAAAATGGCTGGAATAAAGGTATTCCTGATAAGTTGACTGCATCCGACGGAGGTGATTTGTGCTATTGGCCAGTGAAAGCAGCAGGTTATCGTTTATTGGAAAAGGCAAAAAAAAAAAAACCCAACGGTTGGGATTGACAGAACATCGCTCGCGGCATTCCGATGCAAAATAAAACGTTCGGGAATCGATACGTATAAGAATGTAAGCAACCAAAAAACATCTTTCTTATGTTACTAATCACCTGGTTTTCATTATAGGCACAAAAGGAACAAAAGCTGATGGAGATGTACTTTGATACGGATGAATTTGTACCACAGAAACCTACTCAATTTGACACAGGAGCTGCAAAGTTGTTTTCGGAGATTCTCAACCAAACAGCAGATGCCCCAGCATCTACATCCAGAGAAAATTCAGTGCAAATGAATGATTTTCTATCAACATCAGCTCTAATCAATGATGCTCCTACTGCTTCTATGCTGGATTCTTCCGTGATGACCAACCATGGTACACTTCACGCAACTCCGTTGCTGGATTATTCACAGAACCTTTCCAAGTCTATAGTTGCTGAATCAACCGCAAACCTTTTGTCAGGATCGTTGTCTGGTAGACTGCAGAGCTTGGAAAAACAGATGAGTCAGGCAATAGTCACTCTTTCTCAAGTTAATGCAAAGCTTAATGTTATTGCTGAGAAGGAAGACCAACGTAATGTTAGCATGGAAAACCAGTTGAATCAGGTAATGCTTATGCTTTCTCAAGCCAACGCTAAACTTGATGTTATTGCTTCTCATGAACGTGGTCACAAAAATGCGGAGGACGATCAAACTGAGGTGAAAAAGTTTGCTTTAAATCCCGTCAGGAAGGTTACTGAGCTTGAAGCATTGGAGCAGAGATGCATGGACGAATGATTTGTTGAAAACGTGATCAAATCATTGTCAAAAATCCATGGAAAGCA